AGAGAAAGAAGGCATTCTTTAACAAATTCTCCCTCCACGAATGGTCTGTCAGTGTGTGCTATTAGCTTGGCAACTTGAAAACTTGCTCGCAGTGATGAAATATTTAGCTGCTTCTGCTTCACAAAAATATTTTGCTGAGCTGTCAATGTATTTTTCAGTTTTAATATTTTATCTTTTCTTACTTCTCCAACCAAACAGTCATATTTATCTTTATGTTGAGTTTCATAGTGTCCATGCAAATTATATTCTTTGAACACAGATACTATATTCCAGCATGTCAGACATACAGCTCTTTCCTTGTACTGCATGAAAAAATAATCATAAGTCCACTGTTCTTTGAATATTCTACACTCCGAGTCAATTTTTCTTTTTCTTGACATCATTGTTTCCTAGGGAATCCAAATTGGTATTAATAAAATACCAATATATATACAGTCAACCCTCGATTTATGAACTTAATCCGTTCCGGAAGTCCGTTCGTAAATTGAAAAGTTCATAAATAGAAAACAAATTTCCCATAAGAATGCATTGAAACCCCGTTAATCTGTTCCAGCCGAAGAAAAAAATACCCTCCCCAAAATAAAAATAAAACACTGCAAGCCCCTGGGGCTGCAAAAACCAAAACAAACACAAACATAAGCCCACCAGCCCAATTCCACCCTATAAAAGATAAAAAAAAGTTTTAAAAAAGCAAAAAAAGAGAGAAAAGCACCTTACCTCCACCACCGTGACCGCCGCTGCCAGGACGCCTCCCATTGGAGCCCCCCCCCGTTTCCCGTGCCAGGAGGCCTCCCATTGGAGCCCCCCCGTTTCCCACTGCCATCCGCTGGCGGAGAACAGCCAGATGGGCTCACGGATGGCCCTTTCAGTGGCAGAGAAAGGCAGCAGGGAAGGGGGGGCTCCAACAGTGGTGAAGAAGCGGCAAGCCGGCAGAGAACGGAGCCCTTTTCCGCTCGGCTGGGGAGAAAAGCAAGGAGCCAATCCGCCATTTCTCTCCCCCCGCCGGCTTCTCCGAAAAGGCTGCCCCGATGATGGTTCCAGCAGCAGAGAAGCCGCACGGTGGGGCAGAAAGGCCGGATCGGCTCCCGCCTTGCTCCACCACCACGCAGCTTCTCCCGAAGGGCTGCTCCGATAGCGCTGGAAGCCCAGGACTGTACAGCGCTACAAAAACAATATACCAGCAATAACTTTGCCCACACAGGGACATACAGACGGCAATGCCCATCATTGCAGTCTGATTGGTGAAACTCCACCTTTACCTCAGGCTCATACTGGGGTAATAATGCTCCCAACTTCCTCCAAGCTGCCTCTGCGCTGTGATGCCTCCGTTTCCCGTACTCTCTCTCCTGCTCTTTGTGCTCCCACTTCTGACCTTCACTGCCCACAAGTCACCGCTCAGGCGGCCCTCCCAAATGCCCTGGCTTCCTCTGAATCCTAGGAGATGAGAGTTGTAGTCCGGCTGCACTATTTGGTTCCTCTCACTGCCTGAAGCTAGATTGCAGCCGGACAACAATTCTCATAATCCAGCGCTTCAGCCAGCCAGCCAATCAGCGGCGGTGGTGGCCCCCTCGCCCTCTTCCACCAATGACCGTCCTTCTCATGTAAAAAAAACCCAACAACAACAACAGGCAGCAGCGGCATAAACATCCGGCGGGACATATAAATGTCCTCAGCGGGCTGCATGTGGCCCTCGGGCTGTAGTTTGAGGACCCCTGGTCTATAATCTTTGGAAACTACTGGAGAACAGATGAGGTCCATGTAGATGGGAAGAGAGCAGATCTCATCCCTTCAAAAGGGGAATAAAACAGATCTAGGCAAATATTCAACAGTCAATTTGACATCAATAACAGAATAGTTAGGAGTCTGCAGGCTCCTAAGAAATAATGCTGTGATTTCTAAAATCCAGCACAGATTTCTCAGAAAAAGTCATGTCAGACTAATCTATCTCTTTTTTTCATAGAGTCACAAGCTTAGTTGAAGGGAAGACTATAGATGTAGTATATGCTGAATTCAGCAAAGCTTTTTATGAGACAAAGGCAGGAACAGGTGATACATTTGTTGGACCATTAACAAAAAAATATAAAATAGCTTTTGATGGTCACACATCTTCCTCAGGCTGTGCACCCTTTTTTTTTGCGTGTAGGCATCCTTCAGTCTCAAGAGACTATGGTAACGTGCTCTGTATGGAAGACTTGGAACAGCATCTAGTGTGGCTGAGAAGGCCAATTTGAGAGTGACAATCCCTTCCACAATGAAGACAAATACAATCTCTCCCTTTCATATCCGATTTTGCTAGTTTTGGAGCTGCCATTCAGGCTGTGCACCCTTTTTTTTTGCGTGTAGGCATCCTTCAGTCTCAAGAGACTATGGTAACGTGCTCTGTATGGAAGACTTGGAACAGCATCTAGTGTGGCTGAGAAGGCCAATTTGAGAGTGACAATCCCTTCCACAATGAAGACAAATACAATCTCTCCCTTTCATATCCGATTTTGCTAGTTTTGGAGCTGCCATTTTGCCTCGTCCACAATGAAGACAAATACAATCTCTCCCATTCATATCCGATTTTGCTAGTTTTGGAACTGCCATTTTGCCTCGGGCTGCTGGGCAAGTGTCTTTTCAAAATGGGAAAGGCCATGATGCACTGCCTGCCTCCAGGCTGAACGCTCAGATGTCAAGGTTTCCCATCTGTTGAGGTCCATTTCTAAGGCCTTCAGATCCCGCTTGCAGATATCCTTGTATCACAGCTGTGGTCTCCCTCTGGGGCGCTTTCCCTGCACTAATTCTCCATACAGGAGATCTTTTGGAGTCTGACCATCAGCCATTCTCACAACATGCCCAAGCCAACATAAACGTTGCTGTTTCAGTAATGTATACATGCCAAAAATTCCTGCTTGTTCTAGGACTACTCTATTTGGAACTTTGTCCTGCCAGGTGATACCAAAAATGCATCAGAGACAACGCATATGGAATATGTTCAGCTTCCTCTCCTGCTGTGCGCAAAGGGTCCAGGACTCACTGCAGTACAGGAGTGTACTCGGGACACAGGCTCTATAGACCTGGATCTTGAGGTATGCCATCAGCTTCTTATTAAGCCATAATTTCTTTGTGAGTCTAGAGAATGTGGTAGCTGCTTTGCCAGTGTGTTTATTCAGCTCGACATCTAGAGAGAGGGTGTCAGAGATTGTCGAGCCAAGGTACATGAAATCATGAACAACCTCCAATTCTTGTGTAGAGATGGTAATAGAGGGAGGGGAGTCCATGCCCTGGCCCATGACTTGTGTTTTCTTCAGGCTAATTGTTAATCCAAAATCTTGGAAGTCCTTACTAAAACGATTCATACGTTGTTGGAGCTCTTCAGTAGAATGGGCAACAACACTGCATCATCGGTGAAGAGGAACTCCTGCATTCCTTTCAGCTGGACTTTCATCTCTCTAGAGAGATTAAAGAGCTTTTTGTGGGTAGTTCCAAAATTACTGTATTTTTCCGTGTATAAGACGGCCCCTTTTCTAATCCAAAATTAAGAAATCTAAGTGGGAATTAGCAAGTGTAGGGGGAAAGTAATCAAAGCACTGCAGGATCACGTTGATCCCTCCTTTCCCGTCAACTTGTTTTTGTTCTCCCCTTAGCTTCCGTGTATAAGGCGAGCCTCAATTTTTAGTCTAAAGATTTTAGACAAAAGTATAGTCTTATACACGAAAAATATGGTATGTTTCTATTAAAGCCGTTGCAAGATCGAATCCATGCAATGGAGTGAGCTCCTGTCGCTTGTCCCAACTTCTGTCAACTTAGCAGTTCGAAAGCATGTAAATGCGAGTAGATAAATAGGTACCACTACGGTGTTCCGTGTCTAGTCACGCTGGCCACGTAACCACGGAAACTATCTTCAGACAAACACTGGCTCTACAGCTTGGAAACGGGGATGAGCACTGCCCCCTAGAGTCGGTCAAGGGGAACCTTTAACCTTTACCTATTAAAGTCCCCAACATTTCATGGCCACTGTTGAAGCCCAGAGGTAGCTCCTTAGATGGATATAGCTGTAGTGTGCAGTCTGCAAGAGGCTTGTGGGTGAAGGATGGGGGGGCAGCTGAGTGAGAGGGGTGGGAAGGAGCAGTGAGTTGCTGGAGGACAAAGTTGTGTGTTCTGTAGAGCCCACCCTAAGAGGGCTTGTCTTTAGTTTCAGCAGAGGCCATCTCCTACCCCCGCAAATCAACTGGTAACCTGACCAGGTTTGGACATATAACAAGCAGGAATTTTTTTCCTCAAACAAAAAGAAGTGTTTCACTGGATCAGGCTCTTAACTATGCAACTTCCTATCAGAGCCATTGTTCAGAAGTTGGATTCTGCTTGGGAAGCTGGTGTATCTCTCTGCATAGTAGGTTGGTTTGTGATGTGGCTTTGAGAAAGTAATTATTTCTCACCAGGAGCACCCCTTTGGTTAGGCTCTCCTCAGTTTTTTAAAGCCACCTATGATTATAGTTCCAGCCAACAGACTGGGTTTACACACCAAATATCTATGCTGATCAGGGTGGATAAAAATAAATGATTTTTTAAAAAATCAGTTTGATTTAAATCATAATTTAAAACACAAATTTTTAAAAAATCTAATTTTGATTTAAATAGTTCAAACATTCATTTTTTAAAAATTAAATTGTGATTTAAATCAAATTAATTTAAATCAAATCCACCTCGATGCTGATCAGTTAAATAGCCTATGTATCAATCCCGCCTGCATGCTGCTTTTTCTTTCAGACAAAGGTAACTGATCTTCATTGGTAACATTTTTATTGCAATCATTTAAAAAACCCCACAAACTTGTAAAAGCTATAGCCACAAGCAAATGCTTGCAATATTCATTGGTTTTGTTTCTGGTTTTTTTTCTAATTTAGTTTTAAATGCATGCAAGGGGTCCTTCGATTCTGAAGTATATTTGTATTACTTCCCCCTGATGAAAGCTCCCTTGGTTTAAATTGCCTTTTAATAAAATTGAACGAACAGAATCACAGTACCTCCAAAACACTTCCTTTTCAAATCATTTTGGTTTTCAGTCTGCCAATAATGAGATTTTCTATTATGATTCCTGCAATGGCTTTCGTAATTCCTATAACTCTTAAGTCAAAGCATTGGTTAGGCAGGATCTTGATTCAAAAACAGCTTTTTCTGTGCTCTCATGCAATAATATTAATGCCCAATCATAATAGAAGGCAGGTTAAAAAAATCACTTCCTGTCTCATGTAAAACCCATTCATTTTCACACAAATGCTATGCAGCCCTTAAATTAGGACTGTATTTCCTAAGATATGTAGTTAGGCAAGGTATGGTTGTAGAGCTAGAACCATGTGTTAATGATGATGGATGCTGATTTGCTGCCCTCTTCTATTAGCTCTTCAAACTGTAGGACAAGCCTAAAGGGAGCAAATTTCTGCTCCCCCAGAGTAAGTCAAATTCTATTAAAACCCATTGCAGGGATGTGTGTGTGTGTGTGTGTGTTTTTTAAAGAGCCTGACCAAATATATATATCCCCTTGGTGAGCCAGCTGCCTGAGGTGTTGTCTATGTCTCCACTGGAGGAGACGTGCCCTTGCCACAACCCATTGCAGGGATGTGTGTGTGTGTGTTTTTAAAAAGAGCCTGACCATATATATATATATATCCCCTTGGTGAGCTAGCTGCCTGAGGTGCTGTCTATGTCTCCACTGGAGGAGATGTGCCCTTGCCATTGGGCTGGAGGTTGTAGGCCCCTGATTGTTCCAGACAAGCGTGAACGAGGGGGGGGGCACTCAAGTTCCTTCCAGAACCACCACATCAACAAAGCTTTGAAAGAGCAAGAAGCGTCTGGGTGTAGCTTTGTCCTTTCCCTCACCCTCAGGCCACTTCCTTTGCCACTTTCCTCATTTGCTGTGTAGTGTAACTCTGCCATTATTTTCTGTGAGTAGCAAGACATCAGATTACTGAAGACACACAGGGAACAAGGCAGGCCCTTGAAAGTCTATCCCGAGTGTACTAAGAGGTTATACATTTTGATCCACAATTGATGGATCATTCTCAGCGTGTCAAAATCTTCTATAAGAATTACAAAAGCTTTGCCCTTCTGTCCCTCAAGTGCCAATAGGAAAGCACTTGCCATTTGCTCACACAATAAGTCTAGGCAAAGAGTCTCTCCTGGCAGTCTCTCAAAATTTAAACAAGCTGTAGGCTGCAGCCTTGTCTTGATACAGTAAGTGTTTTTTTTTTCTAATTTTAACTGGATCTTTAGAAAGACCAACGGTACCCTGTCAACGCCCAGAACAGATAAAAGATAACAATAAAGAAATCTATAATACTGTATTTGTTTGATCTGGATATTAAGGATTTTTCTACGTTCCAAAGATCCAATAAAAATTAAATAACAATCTTATTGTATAAAAAAATTCATTTGTATTTACTTGTATCAAAAATTCATGTGTAGGCAACAGCAACCACACCAGAAAGTGGAAGCACCAAGTCTATCAATATCCACAGTGTAACTGATTGCCAGCTCTCAAGTTTTTTTTTTTTGGCATATTTATTTACCTGCCTTGTGGCAACTTTATTCTTGGAAAGTTGTATTTTAAAATACATTTACTACAGTTTGGAAGGGCACTGAGGATTTGTGAGAATGAAATGCTCCCACTCTTTGGAAATGGTATAAATACATATTTTGTGTGACTCTTCCCTGCAAGCAAATTTTGATGTGAATCCAAAAAGGAACAAGTGATTTTCCCACATTTAAAGATAGGGAAAGTTAAACACATGATCAGGGGGCTGGAATATTAAATTAATTCAAAATTAAATTGAAAACTTCACTCAACCTACTGCAACATTTGGAGAAAACAATGTTCCAAAGTACAGGAACAGATTTTGCCTCCTCTAAATATATAACGGTGTATTGGAGCAAAATATAAATGTGTTGTTTTGTTACATAACTTCAATGGAAGATGATCAATTCATATACAGTCATATCAAATATAATCAATGCTTCATATTGCATGTCAAAGTAAAAGAGAAAGCGATAGAATGGTTTCCTATAGGCAAACATGTCAGATAAGAGGGCATTTTATCTTTCTGTCTGTTCAGTCTGTATGCAGAACATAACATATGGAAAGTTGGACTAGATTCAGATGAAGGAGGAGTGAAAATTGGTGGAAGAAACATCAATAATTTAAGATATGCAGATGACACAATCTTATTGGCAGAAAGCAGCAATGATTTAAAATAGCTTCTGATGAAAGTGATAGAAGGAAGTACCAAAGCAGGACTGCAGTTAACACTAAGAAGAGAAAAATCATGACTACATAAGAACTACACAGCTTTAATGTTGACAATGAAGAAATTGAAATTATGAAAGATTATGTATACTTTGGTTCATTCACTGATCCTAACAGAAAGTGCAGCCAAGAAGTCTTAAGACTGAGACTTGGAAGGGCGGTGATGAAGGAATTACAAAAGATAATGAGACCAAGACCAAGACCATTCACATTACTGTATTCCTGATCATGATGTACAGAAGTGAAAACAGGACAGTAAAGGAAGCTGACAGGGAAGTGATTTGTTTGAAATGTGGTGCTGGAGGAGAGCTTTGCAAATACCCTAGACTGCCAGAAAGACGAAAAAGTAGGTCCTACAGCAAATCAAGCCTGAACTATCTCTGGAGGCAAAAATGATGAAACGGAGTCTGTCCTGCATATCATGAGAAAGCAGAATTCTCTGGGGGAAAAAAAACCCAATAATGCTGGGAAAGGCTGAAGGCAGCAGGAAAAGAGATAGACCAAATAGGAGATGGACTGACTCTTCAAAGGAAGCCACTGCCATGTGTTTACAAGAGCCGGGTAAGACTGCTGAAGTCAGGACATTTTGGAGATCACACCATCACAGGGTCACCATAAATCCAAGATGAATTGATGGCAAGTAACAACAACAACAAAGGAGACGGCACAATATTTATATTTACATATATATTAAACTCCAAATGCAAGCTAGTCCTTAATTGGGCAGAAGGACAAAACATTTCATGTTGGTACTGATTTTACACAGGAATTCTCAAGCTGGTCATTTCTGTGCTCTAATCCAGCTGTCCCCAACCTTTTAAAGTCCATGGACTGGTTGGGGAAGGCGGGGCACCCCCCCCCACACTCGTGCACATGCACAAAGTAGCTGACGTGCGCTTGTGCAGGCGCTCGTGTGCAGGCACAAAGAGTGGGGTTGCTTGGGGACACTCGCACACACTCGCAAATGGGGTGAGGGGCACTTGCACGCGCGTACTCACGTGCATGTGCAAATGGGCTTTGCGGGTGTGCATGTGGGGTGGGTGGGAGATCTGTCTCCTTGGCCCGGTCCAGCCCAGGCCACGGACCAGCTCCGGGCCGTGGACTGGGGATTGGGGACCCCTACTCTAATCCATGATGGAAGGAAGATAACAAAATCTGAGCAGTCTGGAAATCAACCCACCCTGCAAGTTGAAGTCCCACATCTCATCAGTTAAAAACCCGTAGTCAACAAGGGCCCTCTCCTCATTACCAAGATTGTGAAGGCTCTATGTGAGAATCAAACTCATGCCCCTTTTAGGACACTCGTTGTGTACAGCCGGCAGCTGAGGAAATATCATCATGCACAAGCGGCAGAAGCTTGTTCTGTTGGGAGCAGCAATGGGACACGTCCAGACTATCCCCCCAAAAATAGTCCTCCCCTTCCATATCCCTTCATAATAGGGTGGACAAGTGTGGCTCTTTAGGTGTTTCTAGATGCAAATCCCATAATCCACCACTAGCTACACTGACAAAGTTTGACAGAAGCTGTAGTCCAAAAACTGCTGGAGGGCTACAGTTGCCTACCTCTGCTTTATAATTATATGGCATGTAAAGATTCAGGCCAAAATCCCATTCATTGACATGATTGTGTGAGGGCAATCAGACTAGCCATTTCCTTCCCTCTTTCCTCAGGCTTTCCTTCATGTGACCAGTCACATGCTAACTGCAAAACCAGGCATGGAAAAAGTTGCATGAAGCACAGCCTGTGCAAAGAAATCCTGCAATAATTACCCTTTCAGGTGCAGATTTGTTTCTCAGCTGAAATGTGATCACTTATTTCACAGATTAACATCACTAGTCACCATGCTGCTGAATGATGGGTATGAGAACTACCTACATGATCTGGATGATTTAAAATGCTTTGTACTTGTCGCTGATGCACTACGAGAGCTGAGCGCATGAAAGTATTTCTCCCCCCCCCCAAGAGCAATCATACCAGAAATGTCATGAGTACACTGGACCCAAGATCGAAGCCAATATTTGTGATATCTTCCCTGCTTGTGTGAACATACACTTTTGTGAGCTCTGAACCAGAATGGATGGCTTTACCTTAAAATTCTGCATTACTGTTTGCAGTTTTAGAGAAAACTAGGCTTTGGTACACACCACTGAAATGGTTTTTAAAGCAACTCTTGAGTCCTCCAAGAATACCTCAGCCCCTGCCTCACACAGCTGACAGTGCAGTCTGTTGCAAGATCTCCCAGAGACATTAGGAAGTCAGAGCGTGTGATGATGCCCACATGCTTCACAGCCTGGACATGGTTCTCAAGATACAGTTCCTTTCCTTGAAGTTGAGACTCTGAGTCTTCCAAAACTCACGCTATTTCTTGGGGCTGAGAGTGCCCAAGGGGGAGGCCTGCACGTAGGCCATGATGGCGTTTTGAAGAAAACTGGCCCGCTGAGCTTCCTCTTCCCTCATCCTGGAGATCTCTGCCTCACGAACCCGCAACTTCTCTTGTAGGCTTGAAATTTCGCCTTCTTTATCCAGCAACGCCTCGCGGTGGTTACTGCACAACACTACATGAAAGAGGAACAAGTTTCAGTGGACACTGGCTTTCCGGTCTTGGAATGGTGAAAACAGTCTGAGGAAGGATATATTTTACAAAGGAGACAAGCTTAATATGGCCGAGGCCCAATAATATGGCTGCTACTCTATCTGCAGCATCTTCAGAGGAGGCAGAACGCTATCCGTCCTTTTTTGTGACAGTGAAGTCCAGGTTTATTCAGAACTTAAGCCAAGATGGCGGATATGTGGCCCTTCAAAGGTTGCTAGGCTAGAAATTCCACAATTGCAATGGGTTGTGGGAATGGTAGTTTAGCAGCAGCTGGGGGCAGGCACACTGTCCCCATTCTTTTAGAAAGGTGGAAGTGGAAAAACCAGGAATTGGCTGCTTCTCTTGCTAACTGTGACAGGTCACTGCCCCATGATGCTACTGATCACACTGGAAAAAAAAATGAGCTGTAAAGCCCACCCAGTGGCGCTTCCTCCTAAGTAAGGCAGCAGTCTTAAATCATGTTACTGCTTCTGGAGGTTGCCTGTGAGATTGTCTGCACCCAGCTTCCTTTTAGACAAACTGGGAGTAAAGAGGCAGGGGGGTGTCAAAATGGGAGTAAAGAGGCGGGGGGGGGGTCAAAAGCTGCCCTGGTCTAGGAGGCCGTGGGTGGGCTTCTTTGGGACTACATGGCTGAATGGGTCCCAAAATGAGGGGAGCACAGAAGCCGGAGCGCTGATGCAAGGTGGGGAAGGCAGATGTGGACTGGCTGATGTGCATCAAGAGCTATACAGCTGGGAGAGGAATGGGGGGAAACCTCTGCTAGAGACAAATGTCACGTTCAGTTCTCAGTACTGAGTTGGGCGCGGGGACGTGCATTTGTTTCTGTTTCTTGGCTGTCCGATCTGCCACATCAATACTTGGGACATCCAAAGTACAGGGATATTCGACAGGGTTGTTAGAAGTAAAGAGTGGTTGGCTTCCAGGTCCTCTGGTCACTGGACGGTAGGCCTGCGGCATCTTCAGAGGACGCAGAGCTTTGCCTGCCCTTTCCCACCAGTTAGTTACCTTTCAGCTGTCGCTCCAGGGCTGCAATCCTCTCTCGCATCCCTTCCTGCGCTATCCTCTCGGCTTCCAGGCGTCCGATCTGCTCCTGCAGCTCCACTCTCACTTTGTTCACCTCGACGACCTTCGCCTGCTCCTTGTTGCTGAGCTCCTGCCATTTGTAGCACATGGGAATAAAACAATCAGTGTGCTAACAGTTTAAGGATAAAGAGGTGCTATTTCTCTTATGGTATCACCACCAAGGAAGGAGTCCCAAGAGATGCATATTGTCCCCCACTTTCTCTTGGTACTTCCTGTAATACTGCTGGTAAGTGCTATTCATGATCACAGATGCCTTTATATATTAGAACAGTGGTTTCCAACTTTGGGTCCCCAGATGTTCTTGGACTGAAACTCCCAGAAGCCTTCACTACTAGCTGTGTTGGCCAGGATTTTTGTCAGTTGTAGTCCAAGAACATCTGGGAACCCAAGGTTGGGAACCACTGGATTAGAATGATGATAAACAGGAACTATAAGTTCAGTCATAAGGTTAATGTGAGCTCAATCATGCTTGTACTGTATATTACCTTGATACTTGGTTGGATACATACTACATTACACACAAACTCTGGGGCACCATGTCTGCTTCTTTGGAAGAAAATGTTTATGTCTGAAAGCACAATTTATCCGTTTTCATCTTCAAAACCTTTCCTCTAAGCAGCAGAAGATGGTATATACAATTCTTCTATTTTAACCTGTGCTGTAAGTTAGGCTTGGAAGGTGGTAACTGGCCTAGGTTGACCCTGGGAGATCTGTGGCAGAATGAGGATGGGAACCTGGATCTCTTCAGTACTAGTCCCACAAGCTTGGGTAATTAGCCAGAAAAGAACTTTCAGCAGTCAGAGAATCCACCCTTGCTTTCACAGTACGTTTTTCCACGTCTAACATTTCCTGCTCTTAAAAAACACAAGAAGTGGAAACATAATTCTTGATCCACCACGCACAATCAACAGAAATTGCACACATTTGCAAATCAAGTATTCTACAATAGAATCATAAATGCTTACTCAGAACTACATCCTGTTGTGTTTAATTAAGATTTGTTCCCAGGTATTTCTGTATCACATTGCAACATTAACCTGAATGCACGTTTTTTTTAGGTGCCACTGTTTCGAAGCACACTGCTCTGCCCAGACCCTGTTTCCGAGCAAAACTCTCCCTTCACCTGCTGAAGCTCTTCCATCCGCCTCTGGAGTCCTTCCACCTGCAAGCTCATCTGACTCTCCTTTGCATTCGCCTCAGCCACAGCTTGTTTCTGCTGCTGGCAGTAATTCTGAGCCTCATCGCGGGCCCGCATCATCAGCCGCAGCTTTTCCTCTAGATGCTCCAATCGCTGTTGCTATAAATTCCGACAGAGAGAAAGAGAGAGAAGCAGGGGAGAAGGTGGGAAAACCAGCTCCCTAAAACATAAGACTGGCAATGCGCTATTGAGAGCTTTCATCCAATCCATGAAATTTTAGTTAATTATACAAGTCTGAAGCCATCATTTACATTCAACCAAGTATCTACGTGTAGGGATGTGGTGGCGCTGTGGGCTAAACCGTAGAAGCCTGTGCTGCAGGGTCAGAAGACCAGCAGTCGTAAGATCGAATCCACGCGATGGAGTGAGCTCCCGTCGCTTGTCCCAGCACCCGCCAACCTAGTGGTTCGAAAGCATGCAAATGCGAGTAGATAAATAGGGACCACCTCGGTGGGAAGGTAACAGCGTTCCGTGTCTAAGTCGCACTGGCCATGTGACCACGGAAGATTGTCTTTGGACAAAACGCTGGCTCTATGGCTTGGAAAAGGGGATGAGCACTGCCCCCTAGGGTCGAACACGACTGGACAAAAATTGTCAAGGGGAACCTTTACCTTTACCTTTACCTTTAAGTATCTACGTGAGTGACAAAAGGGAGCTGTAAAGCAGAAAACCTAATTTGTTTTTAGATGAGGTGCCCATGCACCACAGCAGGTATCATGCGTGTAAGAGAGGCAGAAAAGGGGGAAGAGTGGTAAAATATACCAGATGGGCAGGATATAAATCGAATAAATAAATAAATAAATAAATAAATAAAATTTTAAGGTGCTGTTCTTATCAGTACCAATATTTATCTGACTCCAAGGAGCTCATGCTATTCAACGTGGTTTCCTCCCTTCTCTATATTTCCAGGACTGCCCTGGGAAGGAGGATACACACATTGTGTCTAGCCCAACATCACCTTGTGAGCTTTGGGGGCTGAGTGAAGATTTGAACCTGGATTACCCTGGTGTTAGAGTGACCCTGTAATCTTGAATTCTTCTTCAGCTCTACCATTCTGCAAGAACCACACTACTGCCCACCAAGTTTTAAGAAAGAAGAGGGCAGCCACTGAAAGAGAGTTGTCTCTGGAGAGTTGTCCCCTCCCTGTCCAACTAACTTGGCCATGTCCTGGTATCATAACAAATTACATTTCCTGATCCCAGGTCTACACACGTCCCTGGCTGCTACTGGTGTGGATGATAGGTCATTAAGACGTGACATAAAGAAGACTGTATCACATACACATTAGAAATCAAGAGGGGAGCACTCAAGCCCTACCCACCTCTTCCAGCTTGGCTTGGTTCTTGGCTTTAATGAGTTCTTCTTCAATCTGGCCTCGCTCTATAAGAGCAGTAGCTTTCATTTGGCTGAGTTCCTAGTAACAAAATAAAAGAACATTACAGGACAACTTTAGATGGACACAAGGGGCACATGGTCACTTCCTACTCTGTCATGCCCTACAGGCCAAGTTTGGATGAAAAATCCTAGAGAAGACCAAGACAAGAAAGGAAGAAATCTGTGTAAAGTCTTTCCAGGAAGATTGTCTTTGTCAGGAAGCAATCCATGACTGTGTGTGGCAACCTGACGTGAGGCTGTTTCAGTTCCTCTCACCTCCTCAAGCCCTATGCGGACACCTTCCAGTCGCTGGATGCGCTCCTGCAAAGCACGCTCGCTTGCCTCCATATGATGTGTCATGTGATCCACCTGCAGTGCAAACAACACTGATAATGGCAAACCGAACAACGCCTGAACACAAGGTTCCCTCTGATCTGGGTGCGCGCTCGTGCACACGCCTCCACCTCCCTCCATGCAGCTCTCTTTCCCCACCGCGCAGAACTCACGTTAGGTTCTGGTTGCAACGGAACCGAGCGCGCAGGGGTGGGCGGAGTCGCATGCACAAGAGGCGGAGCCCCACCCAGCAGAGCTGAAAGTTAGAGGGCACATTGCCTGAACACCATCTTATGTAACCTGCCGTGTCCTCAGCAAACAGGAAACTTCTTGTCTTCATTCTCATTCTGGGCCAGAGCACTAAATGCCTTACTAATTAACTATAGCTAAATATGTGCCCAGGATGAATATGGCAAGATCTACGGAGCAGAACTGACCTGGGGCAAAGGAGAGAGGTCATGCTCTGAAGGCAGACTCTGTCTGATAAGCAGCACAGGCAACCATGGGAAAAGCAGTATTTTAGGAATCTAGGCTAAGTGGGAAATCCCCCAGCTTTCCCTTCCATGACTCAGGTTCTGATATGTAGAAAAACATATAAAAACACTTGTTCACTGGTCAAGATCAGGGGATCTGAGATTTCTGCATGTAGGAAAATCCTAAAAAGAGAACAGGGGTTCTCTATCCAACCACAGGACCTTCCAAGTTTCCCTTTGGGGGTGACCCTCTCTCTTCCCTTTATTCAGCCATGAATAAGGAAACATAAGGAAAGGATTGGAAATTCTTGCACAGACACTGTGGCTTCCCTGCATCCTATACAACAAGGTACCAAAAGAAAGGGACATAATTTTCACCGAAGAGGAGAGCGCAACAGCTTGCTGCCGCCTAGCTGGCTGTGCTTCTCTGACGCCTGAGCCCTTCTCAGCCTAGGAGGGTTGCCTGAGGGCTCAGACTTCCTATACAACAAGGTACCAAAAGAAAGGGGAGACATAATTTTCACCGAGGAGGAGAGCACAACAGCTTGCTGCCACCTAGCTGGCTGTGCTTCTCTACCATTCCTGCTGCTTCTCTGATGCCTGAGCCCTTCTCAGCCTAGGAGGTTTGCCTGAGGGCTCAGCCGCCTCCTCCTCACCTCCTTCAGCCGAAGGGACTCTGCGTCCTCCAGAGCCTGCTTGAACCTCTTCTTCTCCATCTCCAAGCGCTCTAGGGGAAAAAACAGGGAGGCGCATCCATGAGGGGGCAGCCACTTGTCCTCCTTATCCCTTCCCCTCAGAAGCTGAGATCCAGCGTGCGTGTGCTGGAGGAAGGCGCCCCAAAGGATGCTCACCTTCAGCCTGTACTGTCCGCAGTTTCATTTCTGCAGTTCTATGGGTCAGCTCCTCCTTCACCTGGAAAAACTGCTCCTGCTGTGTTTTGCATTTTCTTTCCAGCTCGTCCACCTAGGAAAAAGGCCACTCTAAAGTCACAAAGGTAGGTCCAGGTTCCGTTCTGAGACCACTAGAACAAGGCAAAGAACAGCCTTCCCTAGATGCATTCAGTTACAACGGCCATGATCCCTCTCCAGTACGGCTATGGGCAATGGAGTCCAGCCCTACTGAAAGGCAGCAGCAGGCTGACAAACTCTTCTACAGAAGTGTGGGAAGAGGTCATGCTGGCCTGTGGGGAGATTCAAGACAGGATCTCAGGCACGCTGACGGTAAGGGACCTCCAAGCCGTTCTCCTACCTGATCCTTGAGCAGGAGGTTTTTCTCATGGACTGCCGAAAGCTCATGCTGGAGCTTTGCCTCACGGTCAGCTGAACCCTACAAAGCCAGAGAGCAGCAGCATTCAATTCTTCTCCCCCCATTCTTCCTCTTTCCACACGTCCTCCCTCTTCTTTCTGAGATTCTCGACGCAGCTGAAGTCCTGGCCACCTCCGTGTCAACTCTGAACTACATCCTCAGATCAAGCGGCCTGTTAGTGGGCTTCCTCCTCAGCTACGCACCCCACGCAGCCCACTGCACTGCCCAGGCCATCCACCCTACCTTTTTGCATTGCTGCAGCTCCTTGGCATGGTTCTCCCCCAGCCTCGCCTGCTCCTCCTTGGCTGCACTGAGCAGCTCCCCCAGGTTGCACACCTTCTGTTCTGACAGAGCCAAGGCGGCCTCGGTCATCTGGAGCCTGCAAGAGGGAAAGGCTGCACGAGCCACATCAAACAACAACCACGACAGGAAATCTCACAGAGCTTGCGGCACAGCCACAGAGGGGTGGGTGTGTGGGAAAAGCAACACACAAAGAGTAACTGCAGTCCAAATCGGAGGGTGACCGAGTTAAAGCAGGAGTGAGCAACTTCTGGAGGCCCAAGGCCTAGGCCTTAGGGGGCCACACTGACATCCCATTTTTTTGGGGGGGGTTGTTGTTGTTGTAGTTTTGGCTCTTTTTTGCACAGAAATACTCCTCGTGCCTTTTAGAGGATGTGGGGGCAATTTCACTTCATTCCTTCCCTACCATCTGATTTAAGCCTATGTGTGGCCGGTTTTCAAAATGGGAAGTGATCAAAAGTCACTTCTGGTTTTGAAAGAAGCTCCCCTTCTAAAAACAGTTAGAAGGACTGAACGTGTCCCAGGTACCAACTAGAGAGCACGGGGCGGAGGGGGGGGAACACCCTTTTTTTGTAAAAATAATTCCAATTAAGGGAGGGGTGCTCAGAAGCTACACGGAAGATCCACAGGCTGCACTTTGCTGATCCCTGAGTTAAGGGTTCTTCTTCTTCCTCCCTTCTGTCTCCCAGGCATTCACACACCTTGTGTGCTGAAGGAGGGGAGCCTTCTGAAGATGAGTTCCCTAACCTAGAATTAAAACCATCCCCTGGGGGGAAGATCTCAGTAGTTAAGAGGAGCCTCTTCACAGGGCGCAACAAGGTGCATTTGCCCTTACAGCAGCAGGAACGTAAATGTCTTGCAACCCATGACTGATCAAGCAGTGGCCCATTAGTGAACCCTGTTTAGGGAGCAGTGTTCGTAACAGTGCCTATTTTCTATCGGGGAAGCTGTGGATCTCCATATGTTGCTGGATTATAACTCCTGTCATGCCTGGGTCTGATGAAAGTTGGGGTTCAAAGATTCAGGCTCCCCGTGAGCCTGGCTTCTCCAATCCACCACCCAGCCTCTTCCCCAGAGTCCTCCTGCATCTTACTTTGCTTTCAGTGAGTTCATCACAGAATGGCGTTCGTTCAGGGCCTCTTGGAGCTGCCCTACCCGTGCTGCTGACACCCTGCAGGGAGAGCAAAAGGGGGAAATCAAGGCAGGGTCCACCAACCCTGCAGTAGGCCTAGCATTAAGACAGCAGCAAATTTATAAGCAAAAGAGAGAGAGAGAGAAAAGAAGTGGAGCTTTTGGTCAGAATGGGTCAGAGGGCCTGACAGGTGGGAAGAAAGACTCAAAAAAGGGATTTCCCTGACTTTTTGGCACAATGCCCGCTTGAAAAACCCTCACACCTCCTGAATTCTTTTTATCGTTATCCAACTCCCTTCTACAAAATAATCAATTCAATGCATATAATAAAATAAAAAAATACGCACATACAATTTTTTAAATCCAAACAGTTATTTAAAAAACAACTATTGCAGAAAGTTGTTTTCCTTCATGAAAATCTCATAGGCTTCTATCCCGCTTGGATTTTTTTTTTTTACATATCCAATTTGGAAACCAATGCTTTAAAAGGTATTTAACATAACTCAGATTTTATTTTTATTTTTTTCACTATAATTCCCAGGAACTCCCAGACTTGCTGCTGGAGTTTCTGAAGTGTATTCAAGCTGTGTTGTCCACAGTAATGACATATTTGATGGTGATTATTCTTGATGGCATGCCATGGATCTGAAGGACCACTGTGACACACCACCCTGGTTTATAATTTCTCTTTTGCTATGTTCTCTGCTTAATCAAATATAGCCTCTATTGTTCACAGTGCCATGGATGAAGTTAAAAAGGAAAATGGGTTGGATTCTACAGCGTCATTCTCGTCCTCGCTTGCAGCTCCACCCTGCCCTCAAAATCTACTCCAGAGGTCTGAGAACATATCCAGTGCATTTTTAAAAAGTACCATAGAAAACCACGGGGGGTAAAGCGGAAAGAGCCAGTTCGTCCCATTAGACTAATGAGCATTTCGACTCGCTGCAAGTACTAGGATTGCCCAGGAATCTGCTATTCCACAATACTACAAAATGTGCTTAGTGGACAGAGCCTGAGATTGCAGTAAGAACAATAGTTAGTTCTGCATGGACACAAACAGGGTAAATTTGAAAGTGATTGGAACATGGCCTGAGAGCCTCTAGAATGGAGAAAGAAACCATGCCAATAAAAATTGGAAACGTGTCACTCATATACAGTACTTTAGCACAGCACCATATTCCATGCGCTGTAGAGTTAAAACTGTCAGCAACAAAACTTGGTGACTGTGAGGGGGACATCCCAGGGACCACCAGGCGGTGGCCGTGTACCTTGGACCCATGGCCCCAGGAGAGACCCTGGAGGCAGAGCAAGGCTGAGGGTGCAGAAGGCAGGAGCAGTCCCCCAGGTGTGCGCCTGGAGGGGAAGGAGTCATGCCTGCAGGGTGGAGCCAGAGTGGGAGCAGGCTAGACAGCACTAGGCTGAAAGGGGGAAGAGGGAGGCGAGGAGGGCAGTGCATCATCATCATCATCATCATCATCATCATCTGGCACAGGATCGGGGGACTGTGAATGCCCCCCCTTCTATTTTCTGTGTCTTCAGCAAGAGCAAGCCCTTGTTGCTCCAGGACCTGTGGACCAGGAAGTGGGTCAATTTCACCCCTGGCAGAGGACATGGAGGTGCAGCGCCTGCACCCCTTCCCCCAGAGCAGTGCCAGTCTCAGGCCAAGTTACAACCCAGTGGTCTCACAGCCACCCAGAAAAAGTGCAGTCATAGCCAGCGGTTATGGCAGCTCAGGAGGGGAATGAGCTGCTGAGGCCTGGGGACCTCCCCTGGCTTGGCAGTACCAGCCTTCCCTAAAGGGCATCGGCCGGCTGGGGTCAGGGCCGCAAATTCAATGCCAGCCTCAAATGGGAGACTTTGGCAAACCAGTGAAAGGGGTTATGACCCAGTTATGGACAATGAGTAATAGAGTCCTAGTGAAGGAAACAAAGTCGCCCTGTGGACTGTTGGAATGGGAGGTTCAAGGCACCCAGCCTGAAGGTGTACCCCCATTCCTCTATCCCAATAAAGGCACGTTTCAGCAACAATGAGAGTCTGGAGCTCACGGTCAAGGAACCACACGTCCCCCGTGCCCACCCCAACCCTGGGTAACAGCAGACACAGTGGTGCAAAGCAAAAACAGAGCAGAATGTTCAAGGATGGATCCCCCTATGCTACCCTCAGGCCTGTTATTGTTTTGATCTGTTAAGAACACTTTGAGATTTCACACTGTACCAAGAAGCTCTTTCCAAACAGACCCCTTCGTTCTAAAGATAACATGGATCAAAGGTGCATTCAGCAGTTTGCAATTTACTTGTGCAATATACTCACATGGCTAATAACTGCTGTGAGTAATTTGACCGCTGACATTTTGTTGGGCAGAAGAAACAACCTCAGCCTTCCACAAGCACCACTGACGGTGTCCATGGGGAAGAAGGCTCATGAAAGGAGTGGTGGGGAACTTCTGGCTTGACGTCGCGATGAGACAGCAGGAGGAGGACAGAGCTCTGCCTCTTAGGCTGAATTCTGACCTGTTTGGGACATCGCAGGGTGTCGGAACCACCCCCGAGGGGTGGTGAACTGGGGAGGGAACCTGTTGATCACCCCCGTTCCATCCAGGAAACTCCCTAATCAGCCAACAGGCAGAAACAAGCAGCTTAGGCTCTAAAAGAGGCGAGAATCAGCTTTTTGGCATCGTTGTTTACTATCGGGTGAGATATATTTTTACAACTAATTGCTTATGTACCCCTGGAGATTTTTATATATGGAAAAAAGAATCGCTATCTATCTCAGTAACTACAAAGCGGCAAAAATCTGGTGAGAGGGATAGCTTAAAGATTATGGAACATATTTTTAAAGATTATGGAACATATTCATTCAATACATTTAAAACATACTTTAAGAATATTACAATTTGGCGTTATAAAGCTTAAGAAACTTT